AATGGCACACCCGCTCATCTTTTTCTGCATTCTTGGCTTGTCTCATACTGGTTAGCTGACTAAGGCAACTGGCAGAGTAAGCATACGTGTTTTCTTTTTCGCGCAAAGCACTGGTGCAGTACTCTAGCTGTGTGTACATGTACAGTCAACAGGAAAAGCTTGCGGAACATCGACTAATGCAGATTCCTGCTATATCAGTTATTAATGCTTGTAATCAAGCTGGTGACTGCATAGTCCGGAATGCTAAATGCAGTATTGAACATTCATTCAGAGATTGCATTTCCAGAAAAAGCGGGAAATTAGATTTATCCATCATATTGTCACGAGCAAAACAAGACCTACAGCCAGGAGTTCACCTGAACCAGAGCAACGAAAATGTTCTCTTCTTATTCGCAGCCCAAAACGAGTATGAGCCACAGCGGCTCGTTCATCAATGGTGGCAATATTGTGTGTCGCAAACTTTTGCTCTTGAGTGTACATCCTTTCATATGCACGTGTGAAAGGTAGCTTTTCGATCTTGTAACTCTTTCAGCACATTGATTTCATCAAGCAGTGTCTCCTCCTCAATACATGGTTACTATGCGACTTGTTTCTCACTTTTAATTGCAATTTACACTGCTGTGGATTGATTGCATTGAAATAACATACCTTCAAATGCACTTATGTTGTCTTTAATTTAGTGCTCGCAGGCATACTGTTGGGATCACGTACTTGGGGTTGTGTCATTATTCCTCATTCTTTATACCGTATTTCAAATTTGAAGCATTTGTTAGCAAACTGCAGCATTTTTGAGTGCTTCCATCTACGGAGGAAGCATCAAAGCAGTGAAGAGGAAACTTGGGATTGGCAAAAATCGGATGTATGCACTAAGGGACAAAGAAGGCAAAATAACTACCGATATGAATAGGATAGTTAAAGTAGCGGAGGAGTTTTACAGAGATCTGTACAGTAGAAAGGACAATCACGACTTTAATACTATAAGAACTAGCAGTAACCCAGATGACACCCCACCAGTAATGATAGAAGAAGCCAGAAAAGCTTTGGAGAGCATGCAGAGAGGCAAAGCTGCTGGTGAGGATCAGGTAACATCAGATCTGCTGAAAGATGGAGGACAGATTGTGTTAGAAAAACTAGCCACCCTGTTTACGAGGTGTCTCCTGACGGGAAGAGTACCAGAGTCTTGGAAGAACGCGAACATCATCTTAATACATAAGAAAGGAGATGACAAGGACTTGAAGAATTACAGGCCGATTAGCTTGCTCTCTGTAGTATACAAGCTATTTACAAAGGTAATTGCTAACAGACTAAAGAAAACATTAGAATTCAATCAACCAAAGGAACAAGCAGGATTTCGAACAGGCTACTCAACAATCGACCACATTCATACTATCAATCAGGTAATAGATAAATGCTCAGAATATAACCAACCACTCTATATAGCCTTCATAGATTACGAGAAGGCGTTTGTTTCAGTAGAAATATCAGCCGTCATGCAGACACTGCGGAATCATGGCGTCGATGAAGTATATATAAACATCCTGGAAGAAATCTACAGGGGATCAACTGCTACCATAGTGCTTCATAAAGAAAGCAACAGAATACCAATCAAGAAGGGTGTAAGGCAGGGGGACACAATCTCCCCAATCCTATTTACCGCGTGCTTACAGGAGGTTTTCACAAGCCTAGAACGGGAACAGTTGGGGATAAGAGTTAATGGAGAGTACTTTAGTAACCTGCGCTTCGCCGATGACATTGCATTGCTGAGTAACTCAGGGGACGAATTGCAACTCATGATTACGGAGTTAGACAAGGAGAGCAGAAAGGTGGGTCTTAAAATGAATCTGCAGAAAACGAAAGTAATGTACAACAACCTCGGAAAGGAGCAGCGCTTCGAGATAGGTAATAGTGCACTTCAAGTTCTAAAAGACTATGTCTACTTAGGGCAGGTAATAACCGTGGAGCCGAACCACGAGATTGAAGTAACTAGAAGAATAAAAATGGGGTGGAGCACATTTGGCAAGCACTCTCAAATTATGACAGGTAGATTGCCACTATCCCTCAAGAGAAAGGTATATAACAGCTGTATCTTGCCGGTACTTAGCTACGAAGCAGAAACCTGGAGACTTACAAAGAGGGTTCAGCTTAAATTGAGGGCGACGCAGCGAGCAATGGAAAGAAAAATGGTAGGTGTAACCTTAAGAGACAAGAAGAGAGCAGATTGGATTAGGGAACAAACGGGGCTCAAGGATATCATAGCTGAAATCAAGAAGAAGAAATGGACATGGGCCGGGCATGTAGCGCGTAGACAGGATAACCGCTGGTCGCTAAGGGTAACTAACTGGATTCCCAGAGAAGGCAAGCGGGTTAGGGGGAGACAGAAGGTTAGGTGGGCAGATGAGATTAAGAAGTTTGCGGGTATAAATTGGCAGCAGCAAGCACAGGACCGGGTTAACTGGCGGAACATGGGAGAGGCCTTTGTCCTGCAGTGGACTTAGTCAGGCTGATGATGATGATGATGATCTACGTATCTATCAATCTCATCTAGCCACCTACATCTGGGTGCTTTTGTGATCAGCTCCTTATTGTGGTATGGACAAAAATTGGTACTGGAGGGTAAGTGGGTTTAAAGAATATAACTGTATTGTCATGACATGAATAATTGTGAAAATCCTGTCCCATACATCATCGAACCCTCTGCTCCCAACATATGGCACATATCCCTTATCCCATGGGCCATAATGTGTGGTTATGTGGGGTAAGTGATTGACAGTTCGTAACTACCCAGAAACAGTGAGAACACATATTGATAATTTAAATGCGAGAGCATCGAAGGGGCTCTGCAACACTTTTTCAGATAGCCGTTGAATAGTTTCATTAAAGGATCTTATTGCCTGACGAATTCACTGCCGCGAAAACTTTTAGAATCCATCCAGTACAAGCAGAGTTACATAGATTCAATAGCACACTGCAATTGCATTCTCTCTTCCCAATGAAAGCACTGGAAGCTAAGTAGGGAGAGAAGGCACAGGGAAAGAAAATACGTCACGTGCATCAAGTCTCCTTGAACCCTCTTTGTTTTCTTTTTTCTTGGAATGGGCAATTTTTCAGTGCGATAGCGCATGCACACGGAGACAAGTCGTCCGCTCCCGTGGCAGCCCCAGTAACCACTCAGTGCGCCATGCTCAAATCATACCATGTTGGGATTTTTGAGCCTGTGGTGTCGTTTGTTGAGAGAGGAGAGATTGAATTTAGCTGATTTTGAAAACTTATTGTGAATTACAGGCCACATGCTGTGATATAATACTTGACTAAAGTGTTCTTGGGAGGCTCGGCTACTGATCCGCGTTTTCTGACGATGCGCAAAACGTGTTGCAGGGCCTCTTTAGAAAAACTGCCATTGGCAGCACTGACCCAACAAATGCAAAAGATAAATATCAGTGTCCCAGCGGAAATCCAACACGAGCATTCTGCCTGGCAATCAAGTATTCTGCCAAGCAGCCGTGCCACGTCCTAAAAGTGCTTTGGAAAAAGATCCTAATGTAGGCGGAAGGTTGGTGAAACATAAATTGCAGTTGCTGTGCTGGATATTTAATTTTACAAATATTACAAATGTACTCCTCTGATGCAGGTCCGACATCAGGCTAATGGCAATGAAAATGATAAATTCGATCAAAATGTTAAATTTTTCATCCTATTTTTTTTTACACAATCCTGAGACTATGTTTCACACCATGGTGAAATATTAGTCCAAGATAAACAGTACAAGTTAAGAAAAGGAGCATTTTACAATTGTGCTGTCATCACAAAACTATGACAATATTGAGCATGATAACATCCAAATCTGCAGCTTTCTCTTAGCAAAGTGCCATCTTATTGGCATCATTGTAAAGAGGACAGATCACAGCTCAAGATAGCCTCAGTGCTGCGCTTCTTCAGTGAAAAATAAAGCGAGCTTCTTTCTGAGTTTCATTTTCTCAGCGTTTAGGTTCATTTTCTCAGCTTTCATTTGTTGAGCAGCTGCTGTCAGTGCAGATGTAGCAGTTCCGTTTTCTGCACTTACACTAATGAACAATGAACCAATAGCATTACAGCACAGAATGGGCCTTTGTGAATATCGTTATGCAAAAATCTCAATGAATAACTTCGGGATGACGATGAGAGCCTACAAAGTGTTGTAACTCAGAAGCTACATTAGACATCAAAGCCACTTTAGGTTTAATATCAGCGCAACAAATCTCATCAGTGTGCTGAATTTCATCATTTCACCTCCATAAATAATTACAATGATTTTCATTGCCGTGTTCCCCCCTTCTTATCGTTTTAATGCCATCCACCGAAATTGATCAATGCCGCATTAACCAGGGCTACTCTCCTCACTAGCACAAGCGTGACATATCAACCTACTGATTCTGGTGCTTTTAATAACTATGTTGCTATTAGCACCGTTATACGACTGTGAACAACTCGTTCAAACATACTCAACTGCTGAACATGCATGTGTGCGCATCTTTAGCATTATTTTGTAATGTGTCGTTTAACACACACACACACACAAAATCACACCATATCCACGAAGTGAATGATGTTGAGTGGGGCAAAGCGCTGGGGGTCTCACGGATAAATCATGAACCATCCATGAATATCGCCCACAAGATAATCAAAGACGTGACAAACACTGTATATATTTATGCAAAAAATTTCATTATTTGTAAGTGGTAGCTATACGTTGCTTCCGTTCTCCCTTCATTATAAAAACTTTATGGTCGGTGAAGTGGTGGATGGGGCATAGTGGGATGTTTGCAAGGACGAAGTAGTGGGCAGTTTGCAAAGGTGGAACTATAGGCGGTCAGGTACATACATATGAGGGATGGAGGAACCCATGCCTTTAGGAGCTTTGCCCCGAAAAATTACGCCGTTCGCCTTTCATCCGCATGCTTCGCGTAACATTGATTTCTATGGTACGTGAGATATGTTAATGTTTAGGGGCCAAGCTCCTAAAGATGCGGGTTTGTCCATCTCTTGAAGGTATGTACATAACTGCCCAAACTTCCACCTTTGCCAACTGCCCACAACTTCACCCTTGCAAACATCCCACTATGTCCCATCCCCAATCCACCACTTTATCGATCATAAAGGAAATACTGTTGAGAAGTAGCCAATATGAAATGGAATATGGTCATGTACTTGTATCCGGGTGCATGTTGAAGAACCATAGATTGTCTCACTGTGTCCATCCCTTGATTGTATACGTGACCGCCAACAGTTCCACCTTTGCAAACTGCCACTACTTTGTCCTTCCAAACATCCCACTATGCCCCATCACTGATCCATCACTTCACCGACCATAAAGTCATTATAACGAAGGGGGAACGAAAGCGACGTATAGCTGCCACTTACGAATAATAAAATTTCTTGTATAAATATATACAGTGTTTGTCTCATCTTTGATGATGTAGTGGGCAATATTCGCGGATGGTTCACGGTTTAGCAATTAAACCCTCCAGCGCTTCACCCCCCTCATCATAATTCACTGTATGGATATGCTGTGATTTTTTTTAGTCTTAGCATTAAGAAACACGAATAAAGAAATGAGGACTATTATGCGTATTGCAGCTATTTAGGCCGTTTCTTTTGTGTTTTATTCTTTCCATGGCTGCGGCCAACCTCCACGCTTGGTCTGCCTGTTGTATTGCTGCTCACAGGTGCTAGGATTGCTGGTAAGTACCTTTCTGGTTCAGCTCCAGTAAGTTAGCTGTGGTACGGAAGTAGAAATGTGCTGCGAAACTCACTTCTATTGCTGCAAGGTTCCTGCCCATGATAATAAAACAGATGAATTCTCTCATACATGCTGCTCTTAGCAAAAGCAGAGTCCTTCTGTACTTTTACTGGTCATGAAGCTACGGCGAAAGTTTGATATCGAGGCAGGAGCAACCACTACGGATGCCCTCACCCGTGCGGATTTGCCGGAGGAGCCCTGGCGCTGCAATCGTGCGGCACTCGCCGGAACTGTGAAGTGTAAATGTACCCGTGAAGATTAGTTACATCTTCAGAGTGATGTTACCTTCAAGGAAGTTTGGGAAAACTCTAATACAGTAAAATGTTGCATCAAATGAAGCCTTTAAGCCAGAAATTTGACAGTAACTAGCACATGCTGCTTCCATTCTAAGATTTGCTACCACTATGAAAGCATGCCTTTTTTTTCTTGAAACATCTAGTGAAAATCTGTGGACAATCCAGAGTTATTCGAAAACTCTGGTGGATTTTAACGTGTCGTGGAAGTGCAGTGGTTGCAACTTTTGTCAGTGCATATCCAATCTTTCGGGCTATATATACATTACTGTTTCTATATAAATACATATATCTTAAAATTGAACTAACAGCCAGTTGAACCAACAGACAGCTGGTTCAATAAATACTAGGCTATTTTTCAAATGAGGAGCATCAAGCAATGCTTCATGTAGATTTTGCCTGGTTTTAATGGATTTCATTTATTTATGTATTTATTTATCACTACGGTGCTGTAGCATGTTTAAAGTTTAATTGGTCATCCAGTGCAGTTTTTCAGTTTACTCTGCTATGTAGCTTACTTATGCTGCGTTTTCCCTGTCCTTCTTTACTGTTTTTATTTCTTAAGCTTGTGAAAGCCCGTGCAGTTTTCCAGTTTACTCTGCTATGTAGCTTACTTATGCTGCGTTTTCCCTGTCCTTCTTTACTGCTTTTATTATTTTTAAGCTTGTGAAAGCCTTAGACATCTCCTCAAACATGAAAATTGACTGGCTTCATCCAGCACTACTGGCGTCAACATGCAGCGCAAAAAATTATCTTCTCGTGCTCATGTTGCATTAATAACGAAAATTAATTTTTTGCACTTTTACAGCTTGTGCAAGTTTTGTACAGTCTTTTGCTCTATCCTTTCTTGAGCCGTCACCCTAACAAACATCAGTTGGTATGGCTGATGTCTCTGTCGCAGGCACTGATGTGTGCTTTGAATTTTTTACGCAATAGCATTAAAGAGCTCGTTTCACCGAAATTGGTCATATGTAGTAAGTTTGCACGGGCTTGCGCCAAAGAGAAGCCTTCTGTGTCTTGTTTTGCAAGCACCTCAATGAGGACATGAAGCAGGGAGCTCTTTAGGGTCTCGAGTTGTCGCATGCTGTCATCATCGCTTGGTATAATGCAGACAAAACCATGTATAAACATGAAAATGAAAACAAGTAGAAAGCAAGGGCCAGAAGTAGATATATAAAGGGGGGAATAGGAATTAAAATAAAAGTACAGAAAGAAAAATAAATACTAAAAACTGCAAAAGAAATAAAGAAAAAAAGAGGTAGGAGGAAAGAAAGAGAAAATACAAGAGACACAAAGAAGGCTGGCAGGGTCCGCACTTCAGGCTTGCCACCCCTTGTGCAAAGCTGCCTTAATTTTCCTTCATTTGATTTTTATGGCAATGCTTGGGAAACACGTATGGGTTTGTATTGGACGTAAGTCGTAGCTAAAACAGAGGTGCTAATAGCTGTTTTCATGTGCCGTTGCTTTTCAGAGATGGAGCGCCAACAGCAGTTTAGTCCCCCCAGCACTGATGATGTCGACAGGCGGCCCACGAACGACGCAACTGCCGCCTGCGACCCCGTGCCTGACCCGAAGACAGGACCGAACCACTGCGAGGTTGGTTGTGCAGCTCTTGCAATTTCGGGAATCGTCTCTTTTTTTGTGTAAAGGTATAGAAAATTGGGCGAGTTAGTAGGAATTCATTATGAAAAGTTTCTCGGTGCGCACAAAACATAGAAATATGTGAGGAAATTAATGAGACAAGCAAGTTTCCTTCCTTACATCTGTTTACGGTGTGACTACTGAAAAACTATCCACAATGAGTTTTCAAACAGACGCTGTTTAGCGAATGGTTTCTTGTATCTTGTATTACGAAACCATCTTAAACAGGCATGTGCCACCGAAATCGGGTAAAGCCTACCGCTCGCTCTGCTAGTCAGCTGAAAACAAAGAAAACTATGGCGAGGCCAACATGGCTCTGCGAAGCTTTTTAGCATGGTCAGACCATTCCAGTTCTTGTCAACGGTTAGCACCGTGGGCGGAAAACCAAAAATACTCCCCTCAGTAGTTTCTGTTGAAGTACCCTTCGTACATTCAAATAGATTCTCCAAAGCACAAGAAGGGATGCCAAGGCATTTAGGTTTCGCTGCTTAAAGCAGAGAAACCTTGGACTTATTAGATACGAAATAGTGGCACTGCTGCTCGTGTGCATCGAAGCATTCATCGTGGGTTTTTGTTGTGGCGTAGAAAAAAAAACATGCTGCTGAACCAGCGTGCACAGAAATTGAGCCGTACAGACACCGACGTGCTGCGAGTTGCACGAAACGTACGACTTCACTAACATCTCGTGCTATAAAACACTGTTTTAACCGAAACTATCTCTGTCAGCTGCCACAATAAGTCCACAAAAGTGGCTGCCAGCCTTAAATGTTGGTTCGGTTCTCACCCATGTGCTAACTGCACTTTCAAGCATATAGGGCACAACCACCACGTGCGCACCGCTAGTCTAGAGCGCCGCAGTCTCACGAGTTGCTTTGCTGTTCACAGAATACCAAATTGCTGATGCCACTTACGGTGGCTTTGGTGAATGCAATGTGCAACGCAAAAATCTTTCCTTAAAACAGTAGACTCTGTAAATTCACGGGAAAGAAACGGTATATAGTCAAATTAATTTTAAACACTGTCCCTTGTGCGGAACCCTGTTTGTGAGCCCCCTGGCACCGCTGCATCCTGTGAAGTGATATTGATGGACGAGGACTTGAGGAGTGAAGTGATTTGTAGGGACTACTGAACCTAACCATTTTGAGATCTAGAAGGGCATGGCACTCTAAAGCCTGCCACTTGCGGCTATCGTTCACGCATTGAGCTTAGTACATCTACGCATTAGCAGAATAAATGCTGCTGAAAGTTGCAGACTCATCGATGTGTGGCTCCAAGCGATCCCAAACACTATTCTGTCTGTTCCAAAAGAGCTCTCTCCTTTCTGCTCCTAAATCTACGTTGAATCTTGAACTAGTTGGACTGCCACTAGAAAGCTCCAAATTGTTTTTTTTTTTTGGTTTTGTGCATGTAGGTGGCATGCAGTGCTGACACGTTTTGGCATTGTTGATTGTGATGACACTGTGAACTTGTTTATTCTCAAATCAGGGGTTCTAGAGCATGTTGTTTGTAGGAAGGCCTGCTAATCTCCATTAAATACCAAGAAACCTTCACCCCTCTTTCTCTTTCATGTAACAATTTTTATTCGGTTCACACTACATTCATTTGCAATACATTTGAAGGCAAGGGTATTGAAAGATTCACGCACTGACGTGCCACTTGACTAGTTTTCACTGCATTGACAAATAGATATGAGGCTCAGTTACACTAGGACAGCCGCATGTTGGCTGCTGAATTCGGCAGATTCCTGCGCTTATTTTTCAGATAGAATAGCGTTGCAAATGCCTGATCACAAGCATACAATGTTGCAAATAGTTGCAGCATGCCCCTTGTCTCATTTTCACCACCTATTTTTAGACAGGAGGAATGCGCATGGGGGTAATATAAGGCCCCTTCGAGTGCCATAGCTTAATCACACGGCCTGTTTTCGGAGTCTGGCTGGTTACAAGCTGTTTCTGTTATACACTGACTTAACTGAGATGGGCCAATTAGCACTCGGGCACCCTTATAGAGGTTCCTCAATCTGATTGCACCCTGGGTTCGCCGAGTGACCGAGCGAGTGAAGAACAGGGCAAAATTTCAAGAGTGTCGCTCATTGGGCAAGTCGATGCATGCTTAAACTCCAGGAAGCCCACTAAAACGTCGAAAAATGCAAAACTGAGAAGGCAGAGACAGCACAGAGATGGCAGAAACAGTGAATACAGGAAAAACTTATCAGCGGTTCACATAAATACCAAAGAAGGAGTCTACAGAACGCACTTTGAGAAACCGTGCTCTAAATCGAAGCTGGTTGAGGTACCCTTTCATACATAACATTATTCCTAATAATAAAAATGATGCTTCGGAAATACGACCAACTCGAGGCTGTCAGTGCCGTCGGCTGTATTACGCCGCTGAAGCCCCACTCTCTCACACAGTGGAGCGAGTTTCTTGAATACATTTGCTGGTGAGCGCATTATGCCGCAAGCATCATTAAATCTTCCTCCGCTGCAGCGGCATGTGACAATGGCTGCAGAATGCACTCATTTGAATGCACTTAATAACCCACGTAAAAGAGGTACTGGTAGCCCAAGCTGCTGTGTTCTGGTCATAGAGACCATAGGACATCATATTGAGCTAGTTTGGCAATCTTTATGCAGTGTTTCGAAAAGTTAATTAGAGCGCAAAAACTTGACACGTACACTCACACATGCACACACCCATGCATCAAACACACAGCGCTCACTTCCAACTGATTTATTCATAGCTCGAAGGTTTGAATATATACAGGACCCATTGTGCACACACACACCAAAAAAGGCTAAACAGCATACATTATCAAAACGTACAGTTAATCAATGTCATAGCCTTAGAGCGATAAACTGAAGTTTGCTTGATAACAACGAAATTGAAGGGGCGCTTACACAGTGATCTTTATTTTTTTCTAATGAAAAAGGCTTCTAACACTTCACGTGCAGTTTTACTTGCGCTTCTGCCCAGAATCCTCGTTTCAGAAAATCGTGCGTCACAACCACACGAGATGACATGCGCACCTGGTTGCGCATGTCATCTCGTGTGGTTGTGACGTCATCTCGTGTGGTTGCATGGGTGTGTGCGTGTGTGAGTGTACGTGTCAAGTTTTCGCGCTCTAATTAACTTTTCGAAATGCTCTACCAACTAGCCCAACAACAAGTTCTCTTTATGCAGTGTAGCGATCACTCATTGCCCTTTGTTATATGGCTCATCAAGCCTCTTCTGGTGCATTAGGTAGTTCTTTTTTCCTGCTGTTAAAAGAATTTATAAGTTACTAATACCAGTGAAGTAGCTGGATTTTTCAATGTGTTCTCTCCAAGGGCCCCCTCACGGGGTTGTATTTCAAAGTTTCAGTATACACAAGGGAAATTGAAAGATAATGTCTGTGAATCCTATTACCGAAGTAACTTTTTGAATGTAGTCACTATTGGTGGAATCATAAAAGCAACTAAGCTGTGGGGGATACTGCTCTTAATAAAGGTTTTTATTCCTAATTAAATTAAATGAAACATGGTGAGCTTATGTACAATTGTGTGCCAGTTCCAATTTCAAATACTATGCAATTATTTTTTCCAGTACAGTGTGTAGTTTTTAAAGGAGCACTGACATCAAATTTCAAGATCGAGATGTGTCCATCATTCGATCGCTTGGTATGCATAGGTCTTCTTGGCCAAATTTGAACGGCATCCATCGCGTGGAAGTTATTTTAATTTAATTTCAAACAGCGTAGAAAAGAGCTAAGGAGAAAAAATGAAAAATAGACTGCCCTGCTACGTGTTTGGTGTGATACATTCCACAAATACCATACTGAGTGACGATGCCCTAGTAGCGATGACGTGTACGATCCGAGTGTTCTGATCATGGCGCCGACTGGCTCCTAAGTGCAGAAACGCACTCGCTTGTCCGCAACCGGGCTAGGGCCGGGCTGGCGCGCGCAGGTGCAGTCTAGCCCGGCTGTGGCTCGTCGCTTCTGATCTTCATCTCACCGGTTTGAATGATTTCGTGAAACTATCAAGACGAAAACCATCTTTAAAAGAATGGCGAAAGAAAAGAGCATGATTAAACGTGTGCTTGTCGGTCAGCATGTCGGGGAATCGCGAGTTCCAGTCGCCTAGTTCGAAGCACGGAAAAAGTGCAATGAGGATGTCTTTTCATATCACGTATGTGTTACACATCAACACGACCACAAGCTATCAAAAGTGGAAGAGCGTGTAGTGAGGTATCATCGCTAAGAAGTAACATGCAGGTATTGTTGAATTTTAGTTCATCTGTAGACTTTTAGTCCACGTAAGAGTGGTAATACCGTGTCAACCGTGAGAGGCTGCATAGGTGGGGCCATTTGGAGGCGCAAAAAAGAACTTGACAAGCAGGAAACGTATTCTATTTCTCCGCTGATGCTCATTCGTGATAGCTATATTACATTGACCCCTCTGCGTATATCTGAATGCTTTGCATGCCAAAACACACCAATATAGTTAACTGAGACACACGAGCGAACATGGCTGAAGCGTGCATCTTCGGGCACCTCTGCAGTGCAGCTTGGAACGGTGTCCATTTCGGAATCCCTGTTCTTCAAAAGGTCGGTCGAAGCAAAAATAATTCACGACATCAAGAATCGCGGGGATTCCAAGCTCCAGACTATTGTATTGAACCCGAGTTGGCAATTTGTACGCCGACGACAGCAATGCAGGTGACAAGGCATGACTGAATGTGTCCGCCTAGCAGACGAAATGTTTGCGGAGCAGCTGAGCCTGACGTCACTCTTCTCTGTAGAGAAGTGGTCAGCTGTAGCGTGATCTAGAGGTGAGCGCGGGGTAGCGCCACTGCTGGTGCTCCCAACGCTAAACATGGCGGGATTGCCGGCCGTTTTTGAATAGTGCTAGATCCCAGTAATATAAATCAATAAAAGTGATAGTTATTCATCCCTCTGTTGCATTTTAGGTTGCGAATCGCTGCTACGGGGTCTATAGCTACTCGCTGACTCAAAAATCTTGGCATAAATAAATTTGATGTCAGTGCTCCTTTAAATTATGAAATATTTCATGGACCTTTTGGGGAGCATGATTTTCTTTAAACCAAGAGAGTTAATGAGTAAAACAGCATGTCACTACAATTAAGAATCAGAACTGTGTGTAGTACAACAAAAATGGGTGTTGTAAACCCATTATAACAAAAGTTGCGGTGTATTGAACATTTTATTTGCCAGTGGGTAAATTTTAGGCTGGGATTTCATCTACGAATTTTCAACATTTCAGAATTTTTCGTTTTATGGGTTTCAAACATTCATTTCAGTCGCACTTGCAGTGGATAAAGTATTGATTCGAAATTTTCGTCACTTTGATTTACTCTATAACTCTCGCAGTCGGAAAGAAAAAGAAATATTCCTTTCCATAAGGCCCACGAAATACATTTTTTGCATTTTATGAACAACACATTATACCAGAAAAGTAATTGTATATTTCAAATCAGCAGAAAATTACTATATAGAAACTTGCCGAGTTTCATCAAAATTGATCCAGAATTCAAGAGAAAACCTGACTATGAACAGACACTCTCTCTTTTCCTGTTTGCTCTGGTTATCGCCTGCCAGTGAGGTGTATTGGTGAGAAGCATCACACCTCTGTTTTATTTGTCAATTATTGCGTTAGCAAGTTACTTTTTTTTTCACAGGTCCAGGGTTTCTCGCCCACTCCACGAGAGTGCAGCTCTGAGTTGGACAGCATCGTTCAGGAGGCGTTGCATGGTGAGTGAGCAGAGTTAAGCAGAGTCTATGGTTTATCATCACACTCAAACAAGTTTATGTTTCATTGCAACATTAGGAGACCTCTGCCAGAAAGGTTCTATTAGTCTTTATAATAATGATCGAACTCGCCATAGCATCGTATATCGAACTCGCCAAAAAGTGTTTAGTAGTTCGATATATGGCATAATTAGATATAGGCCCGATATAGGATTTGATTATGCAAAGGCACATCCAATAAGAGAAGGCTTATTCGTGTGCCCTACTTTGGGATTAAAATAGCCCTGGACTTTTTTCTGTTTCAATGGCTTCGCTGCCTGAGGCAGTGCACATGCCTCCATGTTGTCCAACGAGTAGGAGCAGCTGAGGTCGCAACCTTCCATATTCACACAATAGCACCGGACCAACGCAAATGCACTAATCACTTTGGAGGATGTAGGCAACAAGCCATCGTCAATCTCCTCATTGCAGTCGCGTTGACTCGTGGTCAGCACAACGTTTGCAACGTAATCCTCTTTGTGTGGCTGGCCCATGATGGCGACATCATCGTGCGCACTGACAAACTCGTCCTATGTCGATCCCTCGATAGCACCCGGGAACTTTGCCAGCTCACTCGAATTTTCGGCGGAAACACCTGCGGTGTCTTCAGTGCTGTCATCAGAAATCAGGGTGTCGTCACAAGGAAATGATATCTCGCCAGTTTTCCTCGAGCCATTTTTCTGCACTGTCCAGGTCCACAGCTCTGCTTTCACGCATAACTGTTTTGCCAACTAAGTCATTCCATTCTTTGAACCATTGTAACCAGCCGGAACCGCCTAGGAAATGGTTCCTGCCAAGCAAGAAAGCAAGGTTCGACTGTAGAGCCAGATATCGGGATGTTTTGCGACCGAACGTCCACAAACCACTTGTAAACGGCCATTTCCACATTTTCTTACACAGCAGGGCGCACACGTCGGGCACCACGGGCACGTGGCCTTTCGTCCGACTTGGCCCTGATGTCTGCCCTGTTCTTCAGAATAGTACTGGAGGTGCTCCTTAAAATCTGGTACGCGGCGGCGACGTCCAACTTCTCATTGCGCTCGATTTATGATTTCGAATTTCGCGGCAAAAGGCAAATTCTGCCTCTTTGCACAAGTAATGAAAGCGCACCAAAAAATCGCAGCATATCCACGAAGTGAATGATAATGAGTGGGGCGAAGCGCTGGAGGGCTTCATCGCTAAACCGTGAACCATTCACGAATATTGCCCACTACTTCGTCAAAGATGTGAGGAACACTATATATTTATGCAAAAAAATTTTATTATTTGTAAGTGGTAGCTATACGTCGCTTCCATTCCCTCTTCATTAAACCAGTTTTATGGTAGGTGAAGTGGTGGATCGATCATGGGGCGTAGTGGAATGTTTGCAAGGACGAAGTAGTGGGCAGTTTGCAAAGGTGGAACTATAGGCGGTCACGTAAAAACAAGCAATGGAGACAGTGGGTCAATCTATGGTTTTTTTACATGCACCTGGATAGAAGTACACGACCATCTTGCATTTCATATTGATTACTTCTCAACAGTAATTGTTTTATGGTCGGTGAAGTGGTGGATCAGCGATGGGGCATAGTGGGATGTTTGCATGCAAGGACGAAGCAGTGGGCAGTTGGCAAATGTGGAACTGTAGGCTGGCGGTCACGTACATACATACATACATATATACATACATATAAACATACAAGGGACGGACAGACCCACGCCTTCTGGAGCTTCACCCCTAAATAGTTCACAGAGCGCCAACAGGCAAGAGCACAGACCCCCCTGGATGAGGACTTGAGGAAAAGAGGCAGCAGCAGTTACACAAATATAAAGAAAAAAAAGGGGGCTCACTTGTACCGCATCCGCGCCTTGAAGAAAGCACGACGACCTCTGGTTGACTGTGAGCACCGTAAGCATAACACAATATTTTGCAAGGGTGTGTCCGCCCGTGCACAGCTGGGCTTAAATCACTTTTTCTGGGGTGGCGCTGGCAGTTTCTCCCGTCACCACGAGGGAAAGCCAACTTGCTGGGGCACTTTTGAGGCACATGGAGTTTGATATATCGGTTGTCATTGCAGTTTTCCTTTGTTGTCGCAGTAACTTTTGCTATGTATTTTCAATGTAAATTTACCGCATTTAGCAATTGTTCTATATACAAGATAGTTATACAAGATAGTTATACAAGATAGTTATACAAGATAGTTCATCACGCCACTGAAAACGAAAACGCGCTAAAGTTTAAAGCTCTCAGGACAGCCAAACAATTGTTGTATTTAAATTGCTTGCCGTTAACATACCAGACAATGTACGCTCTGTGGCGTAGGGGTTAGCACTGCGTGCTGAGAATCGAGGGTTGCTGGTTCAATTCCACGTGACAGATGGTTACCATCTGGTTTTTTTTCTTCGCAATCTCTTAGTATGTGCTTTTCACCGTCACTTCCATGACAGAAGTATGTCAGCGGAGCTGTGGTAAAATCTGGCATGAAACACATTTGTCTTAAAAAGTTCCGTCATTGGAAGTTGAACCTATCACGCTATCCACTGCGCCACAGTCACATACTTTGCACGCTTTGAAAAGTACACATTTTATATCTACCAGTATCCTCTCGCAGTGTTCATGGTACAATGCAGCAACGCATCATGACCATGGAATCCATGATTAGTTCCTTCAATCTGTCGTTTTTAAGGATCTTTTCCATTTGACGCATTTTCGATAGAAGTGCAGTTTGGTCAATACCTTAACAAACCCCCAGGTGCTTCCTATCTCAAGTGTCAACGTCGCTCATAGCATCCACTCATACGAAACATAGCTCTGCCACTTCCGGAATGCACCTGTAAACCCTGGATGTAGCTCTGCATTATGCACTTATGCTCGTCCAACGAATAATCACTGCCGGCCAGAGAGAAGACCTGACGCGCGTTGCATTTCCCTCTGGTCATGCAGTGGTGTTCATTAACTCTAACATGCCGTGAGTGGGCTATCTTAGCCCAAGTTTGGTGTGCAATCAGTCACCCTGTTCTGGCTGTCATGTCGCTTTTTTCTGGTTCCGCTCTCACCGTTAACTACTATAGCTACCATAAACATCTATGACCACAAGGGTACCTTAGTCATCGGGATGTATTTGTTTTACTAAGCGTCAATGTAGATGCATCCACGTTATGTGGTGCCGTAGCTGTCAAACACCAATAGACATTGCACAAGCTCTCTTATAATAATGTACAGTACATATTGAACTACTTCTATAAGGACACATTTTGCTTTCATGTTTTACCGATTCCTATGATAGAAGGATCAACCATGTTTTTCGTTTATTTTTTTTCTTGTAGCACTATTTAAGAGCCTCGCTGCAAGCATAAGCAACATAGTGCATTGTGCAAGAATTGTGCTGTAATAAGTGAAAACCAGCGCAACCGACAGGAGGGGCCAGAAGAAAAGACACTGAGCGCTGAAGTTCAGCGCTCGGTGTCCTCTCTTCTGTACCCTTTTGTCGGTTGTGCTGAATTGCACTCATTATCATACCGTACCAATATAGCCAATACTACAGTATTCTTGTACTGTAAATAACTTTTTAGGCAGGCCTTTGTATGCATGATATTTCTTCTCAGAGAACTGTTGCAGTGACTCGATTTCTGACCTGGTTTTTTTTCCCTCTTGCACAGACCCCAACGCACTCAGTGAGAAGAAAATTCAGGGGCTCGCGTGTCTCATCTGCCAAGCAGCATCGAGAAGCTTCGAGAATGCAGAGCGGGCGGTAACTTTCTGCAAAGAGATTTCTTTGGTAATTGCCTTGTTCTACCACTTGCAGGCAGCAACTCCAGCTCCTTCGTAAACTTCGATGAGGGAGTGGGGATCTTGGACATCCCTTTCTTTTTACGTACAGCTCTGCAGTTCTCTGTGTGACCAGTGGGCTTAATCCGTGGTACCATAGCTAAATTTATGCCACAAACTTGAAAAAAAAAAAAAATAATGACAACCTTAAACACTTGCGAATCAGCGAAGAAATGTTGCCGAGAATTCTTAAATACACCCTCAGGGGATCAAAAAATGAAAGCATTTATACTCATACCTTGATATAATGAACCTTCATATAACAAAATATCGGTTATGATGAAGTGAAGAATACTGCGCTGTTGTCAGTTTGAGCTATTGATAAGTAGGTGCAAGCACAGCTTTCTGTGCCAGGTATTTAAAAAGCAAGCACTTTTCTTTGCAAGTCTTGTAACCAGAGTTACAAAACAGTGCAAAGCACTTTTCCACTATGCCAGCTTATGAAAAAGTTAGAAGGTAGGAACCTACCTGGCAGACAAATCAACAATGCCTTGACAAGACATCGTGCGTAGCAACAATGTGCCATAAACAAAGCTGTAATCGGTTAGTGCCGTCTGAGAGCGCAAAGTGAGTGAGTGGGCACTAGAGTGCAAACGAGCGCATCGAGGCACACTTGGTCGTTGTCATTTGTGCTGTTTTGTTACCGGCTCGCCCAACCTTGTGCCCCTTCATATGATACCTGCAGAAGATGGTGGAGAGTAGGTTCTTCATCGAGAGCCTGCTGAGCTCCTGCAACGAGCTATTTGGCTCTCGGTCAGAGCTGATGGGCCCCCTGGATGCGGAGCACATGCCAATGCGATGGGCACCCTACGTCACCTTTGTGGCCAAGCTCCTGCAAGCATTTGAAACTTCTGGCGCCGAAGCCGCCGATGCCATCGTTACTGGTGATAACAAGATGCTTCACAAATCCGGGAGGGATGCGGTATGCCGGCTGGCCTGTCTGCTTAGCAGCTGCTTCCAGATCATCTTGCGCCCTCCATCACTGGGAAGCATCGCTGAGGCAAGTTGAGGTTGTAGAGAGCATTGTGTGAATACAGTTTAACCTGGATATAACGAGATTGACTGATTCCCATAAAAATTCGTTATAAGGAGCATTTTGTTATATTCAGGTTCTGTAAGAAAATTCGAAATATAAAAGCACAAATTAAACACAAGCGGAAATGAAGGCAGAGCTAACCTAAAGCACTTATTTAGTGTTAAGAAACTGTGCTATCATTGCGACAGCAATTACACGGACACTCTTGGTGGATTTTTGCCGTCGCCGCCATGTTCTGTAACAAGTCCGAAGAGATTACATGCCCCTGTGCATCGTAAGTTTTACAAAAGCACGCGTGTGCTAGTTATTCTTTATTATTTATTCATGAAATACCTCGCAGCACCTGAGGGCATTATAGCGGAGGGGGGTTACATCAATCAATGACGTACATCATTGTACGCACACAAAATACATCAATAACTGAATACACCTTCGTTCACACATGTAATACAGTTATTTTCACACATGAATACATCTTCATTCAGCTTACAGCATGGGATTATAGCACACAGCATTGAATAAAACACATCTTTATTCGCACTATGTGCTTGTTTTACAGTTAGCTTATTCCCTGTTTAATTGTTCTAGAAAAAATGAATTGGCATACATGTTCGTTTTAGCTTGGTATTCCAGAATCTTGCAACTATGATCAAAAGGTTTTGATATGTAATGAGGTTTGAGTATTTAAATGTCTCTATTAGTTCCAGTTTTATTATTGTGAATCAAATAAAGATATTTCAATCTCTGTTCATGGCGGCGGTCAGAAAGACATTCCCATCCTAGCTCAGACTTCATTGCAGTGCAGCTCTTCCACCTTCCGTATCGTCCCTTGACGAACCTAGCACCACGATTCTGAATTTGTTCAATGAAGGTTACCTCAGGGGGGTCTCACACGATACAATGGTATTCCAAGATAGGTCTAATACAAGTAGTGTATGCCATGCATTTCAAATTCACATGCAAACATTGTAGGTTTCTTTGAATAAAATTAAGGCCTTACCAGCTTTCACTACGAGAGTGCCCACCTGGGGCCTCCATGAACACTCAGATGATAGTAGCACACCTAGATACTTATATGTACAATCTTGTTTCAACTGTACATTGTTGAGATGATACCACGACTGAAATGGTTTCATCTTTTAGTCAATGAAATATGTACACACTTTGTTATATTCAAATTCATTTTCCATTTCATACACCAGCTATGAATCAGTGATAAGTCTTTCTAAAGTTCTGTTACATCACCGGGATCGAAAATTTTCTTCTACACAACACAGTCATCTGCAAACAACCGTATAGAAGATGAAATTCCTGCAGAGATATTGTTGACATAAATTAAAAACAATAGCGGACCCAAAACAAAGCCCTGTGGGACCCCTGAGGTAACATCTGCATACTCGGAGCATTTTCCATAATAGTACGGTTTGTCTTCTTTGAGAAAGATATCATTCGATGCATTTTAACAGTCTTATCAATGTTCAGAGTGGCAAGTTTAAACAGTAGGAGTGAATGTGACACCGCGTCGAAGGCTTTCCGAAAATCCAGGAACACACCGTCAACTTGTCCTACAGTATCTACACCCAATATTACATCTTTATAAAATTCTACCAATTGTGTTGTGCAAGACAGCCCTTTGTGAAATCTGTGCTGCTCGTTGATTAGAACCTTATGCTTGTTCAAATGATTTATTTCTTTGTATAAAATATGTTTGAGTATTTTACACGGAATAGACGTAAGCGAAATTGGTCTATAGTTACCAACAATTTTTTTTAACCACCCTTATGTATCGATACCACGTGCGCAGTTTTCCAGTCTTGTGGTAGGCTACCTGCTGTCTCTAAAGATTTTCCAAAAGTTGCAAAAAAGTACATAGAAATTGGCCTCGCACAACGCTTGAGTACGCACGTAGAAATTCCATCTGAACCTCTATATTTACTCTCATCAATGTCCTGCAACAATTCAATTCCATTAACACTAAGCTTAATAGGAAGCATAAACGGAATGCTCATAATCGTTGGTTGATAATCACAGCTGTGTTTGGGTAAGAATACCAAGTGGAAGAAGTTGTTTAGACATGTAGCTTTATCTCCGTCATCCGTAATTGGCTCGCCATTATAATTCAACTCCTGTATTCCAAAGTACCCTGAACCACACTGTTTTAAGTACTTTCAAAACATTTTAGGATTTGATTTCATTTCGCTGCCCAGCTCAGTGAAGTAATCATCTTTAGCTTTTTCTATCTTTAGCTTATATACGTGGATGATCGACTTTAGTTTTTCTAAGTGAGTTACTGATTTCCTTTTCTTGATAAGTGCAAAGCGCCCTCTACCTTTTGTTGATAAGTTTTAATATGGGTGCTGTTATTCATGGCTGTTTGTGCTTTTTTAGCTGTGAAGAATCAAAATTAGAGATATATGCATTTGTTAACTGAAATAATATAGTCTTCAATTCGTACCACGTATTATGCACATTACCCTTCTAAAGAAGGCACTCGAAAACAGGGAACAAATTACGAAGTTTTACAGAAATAGCATCGTAGTTGCCCTTTTCGTAAAAGTAGATCCTCCTGCTCATAGGTAACTTCCCACACACTTTTCCTTTTTGGATTTGAGCAACAACAGCAAGATGGTTACTAATTCCTGGAATCACAGCAGAGATCAAATGAGGTGGCCCATTTCTTTCGCCTGGAGGGCACATGATAACATCCCCCATGTGTTAGAACTGCCGTCGAATGCTCAAACAGAAAGGAAACTAGATGTCTTGAACAAACAAAAGAACGCGCTGAGGGGGCGAGTAGCAGCGGCGAACTTTGATTTTAAGGGCGCAATTGCTGGCACGCGTGTTATCTCGGCAAGCATCAGTGTGCTTTCAACGCGAAGAGACTGTGAAAAAAGCACTTTTCTCTGGAGCGGCTGTAGTAGCTCACTCTAACGTCTTGGAGTTCCGCGATAGCGGATTCAAAAGAGTAGGATGCCAGCCTTACTTCGTATAACATTACAATTTATTGCTATTGCATTGATGGCATTTTATTCAATACACCGTCATGATGTTGTCTGAGCTAATCAGCTAATAACGATGGCTACGCTGTTGCGAACTTGCAACGCGGTGCAAGATGGAAGCGCGTGACAAGTCGACCTCTAAAGGTCTGCTGTTATCAGTGTGGTCTGAAAGGGTTTCGATAACCGCCTAATCTGACATCTCCTCAGTAGTAAGGACATGGTTGTCTACATTAAAGAACAATCTTAAAAAGGAGCAAAGGTGAACTTCGTCGGTGGCCACACCATGCAACCACGCACGGCATTGAAAACGGAGAGCGAACGACGCGGATACCGTGGAAAACTATTCGGTAAAGCGCCCTCCATAAACAGCGTGGTCCCACATGTGTACGTTACGCTTACCAAAAGCGTGGCACTGCCAATGCAAAAGTAGTTTTCTTTCTTTCTTTTATTTTTGTAAAGGAGGAGGAGGGTAGGCACATCCACACATGCGCCGCGGCAGCGAAAACGGCGGCAACGCCGGCTTGTGAAGGTACAGGCCTGCCTGCCCATCTCGCGCACACCTGTGCGCAATACTGAGTGCTCGCTTTCGCCTGCGAATTGCCGGAGCCATGAGCGCACTGCCGCCACGTCATGCTTCGTCAGCAGCTGTACAAGTGCAGAAGATGCTTGTGCCAAGGTGACAAAATGTTAGATTGTCCGTGGCGAGAACTTGTTTTATCGAAGATGTCTCCTCATCTTACTTTGTTACATAGAGGTTACAAATACATGTGCTTATATGGAGTAGCAAGGGGGAAACGAAAAACTTGTTTATATTTAGGAATTCCCTATATGGAGGTTCGTCCTAAGCAGGTTTAACTGTATCCAAAAATTTCTATTAACGAATGGCATACAGCAAAGCCCTGTTGATTTGGACTGCGCAAGACCAACGAGAATGTCCGAATTAACCAAGGGTGCGAACTATCGTGAGTATAAACAAACTAATTAAAAACTGTCCATCACATCGTCCAACTTTTATTTTAAAAAAGTCTGTGATTGCGGTTTGCTTCACGGAGGCAATGTGCGAAGTAGTCACAATTTTGCGAAGTTCCTGCAGGTGGCTTTGTCCGCACTTACTGTCTGAGGAAACCATATATATGTCCTCTAAAACGACCAACACATACGCAACCTCCGATATTGTGTGGCGTGTATGCTCGTCTGCATCACTTGAATCTTCATCAGCCAATTCCCGTTCGCCATACAAGACTTCGACGATGATATCGATGTTAGTCACTGTGCCGGCCACGGCAACACTGCTGTCAATTGCGACGTAATCTTCGAAGAGCACATCAGCTGGCATGATGCTTACATAGCGGCCGTCTTGTGTTTAGCCTGTTTCTTCGTCGGCCACCACACCTGGGTCAGCAGCGTAATGCACGAAGCCGCTATGCCTAAACCGGTTGGCGACTACTTGAGGTGGTGTGTTGTTCCACACGTATGTGAGCATGTGGATTGCGTTTAGTAGGCTTACTTCATACTGCTTCCCTGTCTCCATGCAGAGAGACATCCGCGCGAGTACCTTCCGTCAATAGCGGCTTTTCACAAATGATTCCTTGACCCATCGGCTGTAGGAAAGCGGTTGTGTTCGGAGGCAGGAATAGCAGTTCAATGTTGTTGAGACCGAACACCTTCATGTGCGCTCTACAATTGTCCAGTACAAAGAACACCTTCCGAGCATTGGCCGCAAAGCGGAAGTCGAGTTGAAGCAGCCAGGTTTGAAAAAAGTTTGGCAGTCATCCAAGCCTTTCTATTAAACCGGTAGCCAACAGGCAGCAGCTTAATATTATAAAAACATCTCATCTTCGCAGCCTTGCCTATGACCAGCAGCGGCAGCTCCTCTGTGCCGGTTATGTTAGCAGCGAGGAGAATCGTCACACGCTCTTTAGTTACATTTGTGCCGACACACTGGTCCCCCTTAAGAGCGATTGT